CACATAATACTTACCAAGAAAAGGTTGACAGATGTCACACTGAAAGCCCATCCATGATCAGTAATCATTTTAAATTCCAGATTCAAAAACAATCACACCTTTTTGTCTCCGATCTGTTCTCCAAAATGTAAGAATGCCAGTTAAGAACAACTTCAGATTTCACAAATCCAAAATGTTAAGAACTAAGGCACCAACTACAATCCTACAAGAATGATACCTGATGTGCTAAGAGAAACAAGCTTTTGAGAAAAATACCTGTCAACACATTTACATAAACAGAAATAAGATGGAAAATGCATAGATAAGAGAAACCTCAATGATAGAAAGTAATGAAAAGGTTGCTCATTGGCCAATATTGATTCTGTTATATTTAGATAAGACATACAAATGCTCTCACTGTTCATTTGTTGCTCTGACTGTTTATTTAAGGGCAGAAGAAAGAATATCAGAAAATAAAGAGTGACAATCAACCTTTTTTTCTTATTGATGCTTGTCATTAGACAGATTTCTCTTGTTCAGGCTTTAGGGTTAATACTTGGTTTATACCTAAAAAAACAAAAAAAAACTATATTTTCTTGAAATAGAATTAATGGAACATTACTGAATACATCCATAATTTTTTTTATGTTTTTTTGTATATATATATATATATATATATATATATATATATATATATATGTTTGTGTACCAGTTTTAATCAGTTACTAAGATGATGATAATAGTTAAAAAAAAAATTATTAATGGAAAATCTTATTTAATTTGACATTTTTTTTAAATGATTTTTAAGAGTAGAAATCTAAAAGTAAATTAAAGGAAAAATTTAACTAATTTTCATTGGCAAAAGGCTCGATTAAATAATAATACAGGGGTAATCAATTAACATGGTAAAAGCTGGATGAGGTTTCATCATATTATTACCATTTTCATTTGCTGGTTTGAATTCAATAATATCAGGAAAAATAAAATGATTAACCTTTGATTTGAAAAGGTTAAGAATGAAAATTACTAACAAAATCTCTATGCTCATTGTAACATGTTTTTCATAAAATGGCAGAAAAAACAAATTTTAGAACATGGGGAAAATGTATGTCCCTTTTGCAAGGAAATGGCATGGAAACATTCTTTGATTACTTGAAAAAATGGACTTCAATGAATATTTGCCATTTAAATAGTGATTTAAATTGATAGGTTTGCAATGTTGTTTTCTATAAAAAATATCTTTGCAGTTTTGTATCCAAAAGTTTCCTCTAAATGTAAAATTATTTCTATGATCAATAAAAGTAAGGATTTGAACCAACCCACCATTAAGTAAAGAATCAATAATTTCCTAGGATAATATAGAATGAACTAATTATTTTTCTAGAAATATCTCATTAATACAGTTGAAATGATTGGAAAGATCATAAGTTCTCATGTTAACAGACTTTTTTTCTTGGTTTACTTGCTTGTAAAGATTATTCCCTTTCTTGCTTTCCCAAAAAATTTGATCTTTAAAAATTTAAATTCAATTTCAATTTTTTTGTCATTCTTTTTTCAAATTCCTTCTCCATTCTCACCTAGACAATTTTTTTTGTCAGAATCTATCTTACATATTTATAAATTTTGACATCCTTGTGCAGAATTGAAACCACATCTTTTCTGAAGGGCTATATTTAGAGATTTAGTACAATAAAATCCAAATCTAAATCCAAAATGTTTTGGAATTCAAAAATCATCTTACCTTCAGTCTCTTTCCCACTGCTGTAAAATAGTCTTTCCTGTGCCTTTTCTATAAATAAATTCATGGTAAAAAACTCATTCACTCTCCTTTCCAAGGGTATTAATGTGATAAAACACTAGACTGGTGACAAACTCTCATTATTTTTCAGCTAAAATTCCTAGATGTAACCACTAGTTCTATGCTAACAGTTTTTTTCTTTCGCACTTCTCAAATGTGAAACTCTCTTTTGGAAATCTGAAGGCATCAAGTTTGATCTTCAAAAATTTAAATGCAATATCAATTGTTATCTTCTATCTTCTTAATTTTTGTTCTTTTACTGTTCTTGCTCCTTCATAATGTTTTTCTTGTTCTTATATTCTTTCACACTTAGTAACTCTTGCATCTTAGTGACTTTGTTGCTTTGCTTGGGGATGAAATGTTCAAAAATAATATCATGGAATGAACATGTGAGGTCTGATGAATTTGAGACGCAAAAATGTTCAAAATTGGATACTCATATTAGAAAGAAATAGTTCATCATGATTAGAGAAAAATCAGGATCAAAATGGTAATGAGGTAATTATAGAAGTTTGGTTTTTGCAGATTGACACAAGTTAAAAAACTATTCTGTTTTTATTTTCTATTTTTTACATGCAGACTTTTGTCTTCATCCAGGTAACCTTCAGGGAATTTTGAACTGAATCCTTTATTTAATCTACAAGAGTAAATTGTTCTTATTCCACTACTCATGTCTAGGGATATCTCTTTTAGTTCTTATTTAGTATTGCTCAATTATTGCATCACCTCATTTCCACTAAGTCCAAGTACACATTACCTAGCTCAGAGATTATAATAATGTAAATAATAATTCCTTATCACAGAAATTCAGACAGAAAATATTCTATTCCTGATTTTTTTTAATTGTTTTTCCTTTTTTTTTCCAACTTAGATTAATATTTAGAAGTTATGAAGAACTATGAATGAAGAAATTCACAATTGAACAAGGCACAAAGATGGTGGAGTTTTATTTAAAATTTCATCAATCTATTATTTTTCCCCCCCAAGGAGCATACTGTCAACACCTGAATACCAGAAGACAACCATCAAATTTAATGATCCATTTGTTGTTTTCTGCAATATGCATCAGTCATATGTCACAATCTGGAAGACAACACCCAGCTTATTAATTATTCAGCAGTATTCAAGAAGCACAAACACTGACTCCCAGTTGTTTTGGTCTTGTATGTCATACTAAATCATATGAGTCTCTTTCTCAAAGATGCAATTCACTAAACATATAGCAGCTGTTCATATGAACTCCATTCTTTAGTTCCACCAGTTGAGAAAGTTACAGTGAAGACATGACCTGCCACTTCCACAGAGTTGGATCACCCTCATTTCCTCTGTATCTGTTATAGTGGAACACACCTATTCTATAGTTAATAGACTCTCCCACCTATAATAAGTAGGAGTAGTAGCAGTTGCTCAGTGAGTTGGTCAATCAGTTGATGCCGGACGACCGTTAGTCGGATACTAAAGTACCAGCGACCACCACTAGATTTCTCTGCGTTATACCTATTATATCAAGTTCCTAACGTTTTGTATGTCGAACCTATTTTAGAACCGACTTAGTACAAATACAAGCCTCCACTGTCAAACCACTCTACAACAGTATCCCAAATTGAAAAAGAAAGTTCCACTCAATTTTTTTTCTGATAACTGACACTTTGTGGCTGCTTTTCTGAACACTTCAATTTTAACCTCTTCAAGGCAGGGGGTTCAATCATTATTTATCCTCCTTATCTTCAGAATTTTCCCTTTTTACCACCTCTTTCATTCATATAAAACAATTTTAACAGTAACCCTTTACCTTGAGTGGCTCTCGAGCCATGTACTACATGAATCTTAGTATTAAAAAAAAAAAAAAGAGAGAGAGAGTGCATCCAATTCAGTAGCCCAAGAAGGACATCTGGTGCAGAAACTTGAGGGCTGCAACCACAATTATTGACCAGAGTTAAGAAAAAAAAACCCATCTCAACAAGGCCAAAAATAGAAAAAAAAAATCTAAGTAATATCCTTTTTTGTGTAAATTCTTTTCTAGTGTAAAAATCATCTCACATAATTGATAAACAGAAATGTTATTTAATTTTTGTTGAAACTTGAGGTATTTTAATACACATTCTCTCTCAAGGTTTACAATGCCTTTCAACTATTTTCCTTCTCATTGGGAAAGACTCCTATAATCCAGACACAGAACTGGCACCATAAAGGCCTTGGCATTTCTTTCACTGTAATTTTCAACTTCTGAATGACCTTGTATCAATAATATCATGCAACCTTTGAAGTCGCATAAAACACAAGAATTTAATTTCCCATAACCTGTATTTGCTTTTGTCACCATCAAACAATAGACAGGATCTGCTGGGTTCATAACCTATTGAAGTTTGAGACATTTTGTTAAACTTGGCAACAGATTAAACAAAATACTAATATTACCAGCAAGAGTATCGTCAGTGTTGTTAGTTCTAATGTTCATGTTGATAGCAATACAGCAAACTAATGCCAATGTACAGTTTAATATGGTACTTTCCTATATACATATAGCTGGCTTCATCTTATGTTCAAATTTACAGAAATGTACAATTATGCAGGATCACATATGCACATATTTCAACAATTTCTAAATCCTAAAATGACTTTTAGAATACCTTACTGTAATTAATAAAAAACAAAAAGTAATTTTTCTCTCTGCAGTCTTTTAACCACATACATAAATACCTATGGGAAAGGTATGAATCCATCTCTTCTCCACAGCTATGGGTTAAATAGTATGACTTGTATCAGGTAAAATCATTGTTATTCTCAAAATTTTGTTAATGCAATATTAACTTACAAAAATAAAGAAATATACTTACAATACAAAATTAACCCACAAAGGGTTGATAAGCCATAAAAAATTAAAATCAATCTATATTTAACAGTTTTATTTTATAGGGCATTAAATAAAACATTTTTTTCTAAATAGCATTTTTCTTGGTAATTAAAATGACAAGACCCATGAAATAAACTATACTATATAAAGAATTTTAATCTTTGCATTGCAAAAGAATTTTATTGATTTATTTAGATTTTATGGCGGCTTATCAAGCTTTTGCAGGTTATTTAAAGCCAGAAAATATTTTTAGATTATAAGTTTTTTTTTGAGATAATGATTTACTGATGCAATTAGAATGGAATGAGAACTCTGCTTTCTGATTTCCAATTCTGAACGGTTATCAATTACAACATCTGTGCATCCAAGCTGACAGCACTTGGTATTCCTAAGCAGTCACCCATCTAGGTACTGATCAGGCTTGATGTTGCTTAATTTCAGTGAACATATGAGAACCAGTGTTTTGATGTGATATGGTCATAAGCAGGAATTTTTTAATGTCATATTCTGAAGGGATATGGGTAATCACAGCCCTTCTCAGCTTTCTTTTCTTTTTAATATTTTTGAATTGCTATGACTTCCTGAGAAAGACATTAGAATGGTTTCCTATTGCCTTTTCCATAGTTCAGAGCTTTCTTTCTTTTAGACACCAAAGCTAGAGAGCCCAGTCTACCCAGTTATTTTTAATTGTTCTGATGAACTTTCGGCTATTGTACCTAGACTTTATGAATTTAAGTGCATTACTAGATTGGTGGCAAGGTCTTATCATTTTACAGTTGAAATGTAAGTGTAAGTTATATGCTAACAGTTTCTTCTATCTGACGGACCTCTCTTCTGGCTTCTTGCTTTTTAGTCAACTTTGATCATCAAAAATTTAAATGCAATGTCAATTGTTATCTTCTGTTTTCTTAATTCTTGTTCTTTTATTGTCCTCTGTTCTTAATAGTAGTTTTTCTCATATTCTCTAACACCCAGTAATCTCTTGCATCCTAGGGGCTTTATTGCCTTACTTGGGGTGAAATGAAAATATACTTAATCAGGCCACAGTGATATGTGAAAACAAAAGTTCAGTTATCTAAATTTAGTCATATTTCAGAAAAATAATGCCTTAGAGATATTAACTTAGAACATCAGTTATCACCTTAAATTTAATTCTGATATATTTCTAAAATGGCTGAAACAAAGACATTGAGTCTTTTGAGCTTTTAGACAGTAGAACTTGACAGACGCCTAAACGTGAGAAATACAAAGAAAGACGATTGTTTTGCAGCAATTGCACTTTGCTCGGTTAACTTTCATGTTGATACAGTTTAACATTTAAACAATTTTTGCTTTTAGCAATTCAGTCTTTCTCAATTTTTTTTTTCTCCACAATCTATTTATAAACTGTTCCAGCTTCTTCAGGAAAATGTATTATTTGGTGTAGAGTTTGTTGTTCTAAAAATAAAATCAAAAGTCCCGAGAATTAACTGACCAAGACATTTTCTTGTCATTTCTGTCTGGATTTCTGGGATGAGGAGTTATCATTATTTACACTCAGACTATTATCCTCATCTTTGTCATCATCACAATGTTTCCCCCATGGCTAGAACCTTCCCTGGTTTTTATGGTTTTGAACAATTCTTATGTTCCTGTCTGAATTTCTGGGATGAGGAGTTTACATTATTTACATTCAGACTATTATCCTCATCTTTGTTGTTATCACAATGTTTTGACCATGGCTAGAACATTCCTTGGTTTTTATGGTTTTGAATAATTCTTATGTTGCTGTCTGGATTGTTGGGATGAGGAGTTATCCTTATTGACATTATTTACACTAAGATTATTATCCTTACACTTGTTGTTGCTATCACAACATTCCAAGTGTTGTGTTTTCTGGCCTTCTTCAATAACTTGCCAATTGGAACAATTTTTAAGGAATTTTGAACTGAACCCTTTATTTATCTACAGGGGCTAGCTTGTTTTCATTTTGCTGTTCATGTCTAAAAAGTATCTTGTCTATCTTATTTTAAGCTATTGTTAACCTAATGTATTAAAGCATTGGTGTGTGAATTTGTTAGTATAGTAATTATGAATTCAATCCCTAGCCTGGGTAGTGTAGACTTAGACTCAGTAGACACAGGATGAGCAATAACTGAGAAGACAAGATGTCCCGAAACTTGGACAGTGGAACAAGAACAATCTCCCTTGTAAATTAAATAAAGGGTTCAGTTTGAAATTCTTTACAAGTTACCTGGTTTGACAAGTACCTAAAGAAGGCCATATGGTACAAAAACGACGGCAACATATCGAGTGTAAATAATGCAAATAATGAAATCTTGTCATTGTTATTCTTTTTTTCACTATTACTGTTTTTCATGGTACATAAGAGTATCCTACTCCTCACTCCCATTATACACTAAATTCTGTCTCCTTTATAATGCATTTATCTGGCATTAACAGCTTAGGCAACATTATTTTTTTTTTTACTAATAAACAAAAACTGTGATCACTGATAAATTGTAATTAAAGTTGATGTTCATGTTGATGTGTATAAAAATGAATTGCAGGTGGAGAATAACTTATAGTCACAAACACCAAACTGCAATAAATATGCATTTTATATTTACATTTGGATTCTTGTCTCCATAATCATTGCTATTATCACAATATTTTGGTTGTTGCACCTTTTGGGCATCCTTAGTTACTTGTTAATCTGATGATTCTTGTTCTGCTGTCCATGTCTTGGGATATCTCATCTTGTTCTTATTTATAACTGAGAAATAATTGCTCACCAGGTTTCTACTGAGTTTAAGTTTGCATTATATATTTTTTTTAAAATCATTTTGCCCTAAGTGGAAACAAGGGATAAAGCTCTACTCCTGTTCAAAAAAAGTGAGGAGGATTGTGAACCAGACAATTGGTAAACCGATCTACTCCTGTTGTGGAGAAACAAATAAATAGTAAATAAAAGTTTAGAGTTGAAGTAGACTTTAGAAGGAATTGAAAACTGAAACAGGAAACAAGTGGTAAACTTCTACTCCTGCTCAAAACACTGAGAAGGAGTGCCAACTGGATGATTGGTAAACCTATCTATTCGAATCTTTGGCTTAGGAATTGAATTCACAATGTCACCAAACTCATGAACCAACCCTTTAGTCCACTTGGCTATTGTCCCAAAATTCATACAGAAAAATGAATTTTATATTTTATAAACATATTTTTCCCTCCTCTCTGAAGTAAATGTACACTTCCTCATTATTGCATGTGGATCATAATACTTCCTCTCTGTTTCTCTCTTGTATATACATTACATATACTTTTCTCTCTTTTTAATTTTTTTTTCTTAACTCTTTTATACAATATTTTCTCTCTTGAATAAATAAAATATTTCCTTTGCCTGTCTCAGTGGAATAGTTCAACTAACTAAGGATCAAATTTAGGTAAAAGTCAATACAAATGTAGGCCATACTCACTTGGAAAATTGGTACTCTACAAATTATTACTAATCCTGTATGACTTAGTGTTGTACTTATTTTCAGAAAATACAGGGTGTCCCAAAATAATGCACTGATTCTTTAAAGGACAATAAATGTAGCATTTATTAACTTGCAAACACGAATAATGGTTAAAATTAAGAAATATTAATGTTTAATGACTTAGGAGATTAAAGGTTTAAATTAAATATTAAATGAAATTAAATGCATGTTTATAAATATTAAAGCTGACGACAAGGTCGAAAAGGGAGTAAATCTTTTTTGGACAACCTGTGTATTTTTTTTTAGTTTTATGTATCTTTTATATACCAGCATATACAAATAATTGTATTTCATGTACACGATCCATTTAATCAATACATATACACACACCATTTGTTTTTTTAGCCATTAAATATCACCACCATTATGCTATCACAGGTTTTGAAATCAGAGTTGCCCTCCACCCAGATTGGTTATCAACCAAAGCTAGAGAGCCCTGTCTACCTAACTATTTAACTCAGACATGGGATGATAGTGGATAACAGATGCATTCATACCTTTCTAAATGGTATTTGTGTAAAGGTGACTCCTCCTGCTATGAGGTAGTTCACAAAACTTATTAACTAGCATCTGTTTCACATTGTTATTCTTTAAAGAACACAACAAGGAATGAATTCTCATGTGCTCTCTTGAGGAAATTTTGTATGACACTTATTTTATATCTAAGTGGACATTCACTCATTTGATTGTGTTGTTTTAACCAAACTAACTCACAAATAACCAATTTAGATTATTTTTCTCTAAAACAACAGCAAGACTGAACATACATATAAAGACAATAACATAAAATTTTCTATAAAAATCAAATACGTTAATTATATGCAGTATGAATTTTCCATAAGAAACATTATAAAGAAATTTAATAATAAGAAAATTAATTATCTATTATAAAAAACAGCTAACTTCATCAATAACAACAACTGACTTGCAAGATCCAGATTACAGAGGGCCAATATTATTTATGAATTTACATGACCCTTAAGGAACTTTATTCCAGAACAGAATAATGAGTAATTATATTGGACACACCACTAGACTTGTCAAGAAGACTCACGTTACATCTATCAGACCATAAATCAAACAGGACTCTTTTAAAAACACACACACAGTAACCTACCAAACTATGTCTGTAACATACTTGTGGAAAATATAACAATAATAGCCTCATCCATGTGTAAAAAAACAGGTAAAAATAATGAAAGCATTAATAAAAAAGCAAAAAACAACACTCAACAATATCAATTATAAATATGGCCACAACATGCTGACCATGTTTGGAAAATAAAAAATATTCCTATCACTATGTGTTCATTTTTTCTAAGTAAAGTAAATGTAAACTACAACACTTTGATACAAAACTTCAACAGTCTGCATGTCGAGTGCATTTTTTTTCCCAACTGAGAAAAAGCTGGAGTCATATAGCTCTCTTAGTCCCAGACCAACGCTGACTATTGGTTAATATCTTCCCAGTATTGTTCATATGCAAATTTTGTTAGTACCATCTACTGTCAGTAGAATGTCCTCTCTCAACAAACAATTGTGAAAGAGGACGTAACTCCTGATGCTTACTGCACCACACACAACCAACTCTGGGTCTCTTGACTGGTTGACCTGATTCTGCATTACATACTATAGTTACACATATATAAAAATCTACATATGCAGTAAAAAAAAAAAAAAAACTTTGATAATAGCTAATAGAATAGCCAAAAGCGTTTGGATATATAGAGCATTTGGATAGTTCTTACACACCTTATGTCCAGCAAAAGAAAACACTTGTACAAATGCAAGAAAAGTTGAATAAAATGCTCAATCAGATTGTCAGTCATCTTTAATGAAACACACACACACACATATATAGTGTATTTAGGTAGCAATCCCTCTTTTATACATGTTTCATTAAAGATGACAGACAAGGTACTGCGATTAAGTTTTTTATTTAATTTTTCTTATGTTTGAACAAG